AGTTGACATGTAATTGCTGCATTTGCCCCAGCTGTGGCTGGCATTACATGCTGAACCTTCCTTGGAGACAGAAAACCAATTTTGATATGACACTCTGGAAGTCACCACTGGTACTTTACAAAGAGTTCAAGGTCACTGAAAGCTTGCCCCAGACACTCTCAGGTAAATCTCTGGAGGACTTTTCTTTCTTGGGGGAATGCAGTGTTTTTATTGATTTTGCAAATCGTTGACTTAAAGTTTAACAAAGAAAAAACTATCAAGAAGGAAAAAAAAAACCCTAAGAATGAAATCAATACTCTTGCATTAAAATTTTAAAAAGAATTCCATATTAGTATGACAACAGTGATAGGAAGTTAAACTTTTCATGTTTAACTTTTGAAACTTGTATATGTGTATAGATAAACTCAATACGGTGTTTCATTAAGGGACTATTTGCTAAAAAATTTAACTTTTATTACTTAAATATGACTCATTTGTTTTCAAACAACCTTGTCTTTTAGATCATTCAATCTATGACACAGATATATGGATTTAAAAATCTTGTTTTCTAATCATAGAATTCAATATCTATTTAACAGTATGTTACCCAAAAAGATTCTAAACAAAATTTGTTTTGTATTATCCTTCAGTGTCAACTGAGAAACTAGTAATATGTGAGTTTTGATTACAGTTGGTAGTTTGTTTGAAAAACTAATGTGTTTCATTTTTTTCTTGCTCTTAGAAGTCTCTTATTAAGGTTGAAATATCTTTTTGGTTGTTAGGGGCATTAGACCAGGCAACAAACCCTTAGCTCACATTTTGTTTCTAAGCTTGTGACTAAAATGGTTAAACAAAATGTTGGCCTCATACTCATTCCATTGATTACATTAATTGATTATTCTATTAATTAATTCTGTAAATTATTCTATTAATTATATTCTACTAATCTACCTTATTCATTCAAACGTTCATTCTCAGCTGGTAGCATCCCATATTTTCCCTTATTTTATTAGACCAGGAAATTGATACTGACCTACATGATTGAGTTGAAATGCATACATTTTCAAACATGCAGTAGAAAAAACAATAGATATTTGGTAAATAATTCACTCTTATCTATTTTCTTTTATAGTAATCTTTTAATAATAATTTATTTCAGAAATATAAGAAAAGAAGAAACAAATTTACAAAGTTTACAACACACATTCATATAGCTATTTCAAAAACACCCACTTCTACAGCTAGACATCTTGTTTAGCTCTAAATTTAGGTAAATTCTAAGGACAGTAGATACACAGGACAGATAGATTGCTCCATAACTGGAAGCCTGCTTCATGAGCAAAGAGGAGAAGGCAGCTGGAATAGAAAAGGGATCACTAAGAAAAAGATGGCTGGAGGAACCGGTCGGGATGGAAGCTGTGTTCAGAAAGTAGATAAAGGACCAAACATGATAAACTCTCAGGGTCTGTATTGCAAATAATAATGCCCAAAAGTAGAGAGAGATTTGGGGGAATAATGTCTGCCATGGAGGCAGAGGGAGGGTGGGAAAAGGGGTGTATAGCGGGGATATTGGTGGTGGGAAATGTGCACTGATGGAGGGATGGGTGTTTGATCATTGTGTGATTGTAACCCAAACATGAAAGCTTATAACTATCTCACAGTGATTCGATAAAATTAAAAATAAATGAATAAATTTAGGTAGATGGAGGGATAGGTAGGTAAATAGCTAGAAATTGATATGAATTCTCTACAACTATTCCAAAGAACAAGCTTTGTAACAGTGTATAATTTAGTGGATCCATAAAGAAACAATGACAAGTACCATTCAATTCTGCAAGTATTTATTGAATACAGAGGATGCAAGATAGTACATTTGCATTGCAGCAATAATAAACTCATTGCAATAATAAACTCATTATAATATATTGATAATAAAGCATAATTGATTCTAATTATCAATATCTTCCACCATAATATTATATGTAATAATGTGGACTGCACATTACCCTGAGTCTTAAAAAGTATTATGCTTAAATTCTTGTAAAACTTCACTGCCAAAACTTAGAATGTATCACTGTACCAAAACATTTTGGTTCCTCTGTTGATGAGAGTCAATCAATGGAGAGACACAGTGATGGGTCAGAAAGAAGTTTACTAGCAGCAAAATGCCAGATTGAAAGAGGGTAAACTCACCTCCTTGAACATTTTGTCTTTGTAGTCAGAAAAAATAAAGTTTTTTTATAGAAAAATATAATGAAGAAGCATATTTTACTAACGGTGCTGATTTATCACCCAGAATGTACAATTAATTTCCACAAGGATGGTCCTCTGTGTTTTATTGTGATATCTTCAAACTAAATGTTTCTGAGTCATGATCAACCAGTCTTTATCTAACTTTTGTTGAAAGACAGGATAAGTACAAAGATTGTTACCTACAAGAGCTTGCTAGGTGTTCCTTTCTGCTTAACATTTTACTCAATTTCTTAATTTCCTTTTGCCTTGTGTTGTACAAATTAACTGGCCAAACTAAGAATAAGCTAATTTTCCCAAATTCCAAAGAGCAGTAAGTGAAAGAAATGAAATGTGAACACTAGTCATTTGACCTTGACGTTTTGTATTTGCTATATTAGGCCTGTGTTTCCCAAAGTGCATGGTCTCACATCCTGAAAGGAGGCAGGTCTGGAGAGAATCAGGGGGCAGCCACCCTCACTGTGATTGCATGGGGTTTTCTATTTGTTCACTAGAAAAAGGGAGATTTATTTCAAGGGGACTTGGGTAATATTTTCTTTTAAAAAGAGGCAATTAGAACAGGTAAGTTTGAGTAACTCTGCATTAGACTGAACTACTTCACAAATTATTCAAAGAAGCCAAAGAACAATATGCAGCCCTCAGTATTGGAAATGCAAATTGGAGATGGAGATATAGATGTAAATGTTCTACAGAAATTCACACCTCATGAGAAGGAGAGAAATGTTTGTGAGCCAACACTGACATTACTACAAAATCTTATGGCAAAGCAAGTGGACATATGGACATCCAGGGAAAGCAAAAACAAGTGAATGAGACAGTAAACAAGGTATGTCCCTGGCAATTATTCATTATTTTATCCACTAGTTTTTCATCTCATTGTCTTAAAGTGTAGGGTGTCAGGGAAGATTAATATATACATATACACAGTCAATCAAGTTGACATTTTATAATGAGTTTGAATTAGAATATTATGAATCATATTGAAGACATTATAAAAAGTTTTGTGTCACTAGAATTTTGTGTCTATCACTAACATTCACAAGTAGAAATGGTGGAGATTATAAGCATTGCTTTGCAAATGTTTCTGTGTATCTCTCTGGATTATATCACTTGTATCTTTTGTCATGCCCGTTGCTCATAGATTTGCTAGAGCGGACTCCAGTAATGTCTCCATCCATCCCTGTTGCATGCTAGTTAGCCCAGTGGCCTCTGCCTGCTCCAGGAACATGAAGAGCATTAACCCATTCATTCATGGTCATGACAAAGAAGTCCGACCATCTCGACCATCTTGTAGGTGGGCGGCCAGGCATTCTTTTGATGTCCCGTGGAATCCAGTCAGTAATGGCTCTAGTCCAGCGGTCATCTCCAAATTGCATTATGTGTCCAGCCCATCTGACTTTCGACACTTCGGCAAATGATTATATATATACATATATATATATATATATATATGTGTGTGTGTGTGTGTGTGTATAAGTGTATATACATATATACGCATATATATCTCCAAACCTACTCGGGTATTTATGTGTGACTGTGTGTGTGTATATACATATATATGTATATATAGGTGTGTGTATGTATGTGTGTGTGTGTATATATATATATAAAAATATATATAAATATATATATATTTCCAAGCCTGCTTGGATTAGAACTGGGACTCCTCCACCCAGATCCTCCATCTTCCAGTTGCTACACAATTACACCCACCAATTGTCCCCAGCGCCGTGTAATCCCATCAATGGCCAAGATCCAGAGACTAATAAACCAAGCTCCAGGAAGCAAATGCGGCTAGTTCTCGCTCTCAGAGAACCCAGCAGGCTACCAAGAGTATCCTGCTTGCAGGACAGAGTCTGGGAAGCTCCCCGTGGTGTATTCAATATGCCAAAAACCAGTAACAATGATGGGTCTCATTCCCATGACCCTGAAAGAGCCTCCAATGTGGGACTTGCTAAAATCTCAGGGCTAGGACAAATGGAGACGTTACTGGTGCCCGCTTGAGGAAATCAATGAATAATGGGATGACAGTGATACAATGGTACAGTGACATACATATATATATATATGTATTAATTATGTTACAGGATGGGCTGGAGCGATAGCACAGTGGGTATTGAGTTTGCCTTGCATGCAGCCAACATGGCCGACCCGAATTCAATTCCTCCGCCCCTCTTGGAGAGCCCGGCAAGCTTCTGCGAGTATCTCACCCGCATGGCTAAGCCTGGCAAGCTACCCGTGATGAATTCGATATGCCAAACACAGTGATAAGTCTCACAATGTTACTGGGCCCGCTCCAGCAAGTCCATGAACAATTGGAGGGCAGTGACAGTGACAGTGACAGTTTCAGGACCTCAACTCCTAAAATTTAAGTGAAGCACAAAACTTGCTATGACCCAAGAAAAAGTGAAGAAATGCCATGTAGCACTTCTTAGAGGATATTTGATAGTGTGAGCTCCAGGTTCCATTCCTTATAAAGTGGGGCAGCTCACCCTGCCTGGGTTCCTTAGTAAGAATTATGTAGAGTGAACACCATTCCAATGTTATTACTATCTTAGAAAAAGATGGAAGCAACCTGATTTTATACCAAAGGATTGATTAAAGTCTGTATTATTCTCTGAGTGTGTTTTGTTGCTGTTATCATACATTTTTTTTTATTTTACCAATATAAGGATCTTTAAACAATGAAGCAAAATGGAGAAAAATGCCAAGCAATTTTTTAATTCTCCTCTATTGCATGATTTATAATAACTGCTCTAAGTTTTGCACATTTGTAGTCAAAATTAAGCCAGTCATGCTCTTTTCTCCAGGAAGTGTGGGTTCAAAGTCTGTAGACAGCTGTCTCCTCTGTAGTACACACCACATGTTGCCAATGTAGGATGCCTGAGGGACATTGGACAAAGTCCGTGGTGGAGGACATTTCTATCCACCGTTATGTTGTCTCCCATCTTAGACTCCCAACAGGGATGCTCGTGGTTTGGAGAAGATCCACGGTCCAGAACGGGAAGGTCATCTGCATCAAGCTGCACAACAAGGAGAATGGGATGGGCACTCTACACTGGATGGAGATTCCGCTGGACCAAGTTCAATTCCCCAGTCACCAAAAGATTCACGTTTCAAAAATGAGACTTCAGGAAATTTATTGTGGGTATGTTTGAAGACAAGGAAAGCAGCTCATTGAAGAGAACAGTAGGGTCTAAGAAATGCTAATTGATGCCCCTTGAGAAATGGGGAGTTGCTCTCCTCAGAGCCCTAGGCTTTCCCTCACTCTTCTCACACCTTAGCACACTATGTCTTCCCTCTTATCTATCAAAATATAAAATAAAATTGTACATTATAGTTAACATCGAAATATTTAAGTTTAAGATGAAAATTAAAATAAGTAAAAATGCTAGACTATTGACTCTCAGAGTTATCAATCTTAGGTAACATTCAGTATACTTAAATACATATAAATAAAGCAATGTGTCATGGTGCTGCATGATATTGCTGCTTTATTTATCTATTTTTTATGTAGGAGTACTGCTATTTATTCAGCCACTGATTAGCTGATTGAATTTGGCATGAGCTCCACCTTACTTTTTTTTCATAATTTTATTTCTTTATTTTTTTTCTTATATTTATTTATTGAATCTCTGTGGGAAAAGTTACTAAGCTTTCAGGTTTAAGACTCAGTCATATAATGATCAAACACGTCTCCCTTCATCAGTACTCATTTTTCACCACCAAAAACCCCAATATACCCCCCTCCCACCTCTCCCAATGCCTGTGAGGCTGATAATTTCCACTTAACTCTTCTCTACATTGATTACATTCATTATTTTGACAAAAGATGCACCATTATTGTTTAGAACCCCCCCCCCAATCAGAATTGCTGAAAAGTAATTGTGAAATACTTTGTTTTCTATAGCTGGTTATGAGAATCATATAATCTCATGTGGCCGCAATAGTGGCTGTGCGATTTTGGATTTCTGAAAAGAGCCAGATAATTACGAGATTGGTTTCTGTGCATCTGGTGTTATGGCTATGCTGGAGAGCCACTTGTGGGGGGCAACTTGTGACCTCGGTAGGGCGTGAAGGACGAGCCAGTACCATCCCCCTTCCCATGAGACTGCAGTTGCCCCATCACTTCTGGCTTATACCTGGCTTTCTAATAAGCTCTGAGCGGTGGCCACCTTGCTGCAGTAGGTGGGGAGAGGGAAGGCAGAAGGGAGCAACATCCTTTCCCTCCCGGGGAGGCATGGCTCCATAGTTTAATGCATGGTCCATTCACTTATCTGCCGCAAGCTGTCAGACTCTGGATTAAGTCCTTTTGCCTCTAGAGCCATGGCCGTGCCGGAGAGTCGCTTGTGGGGGGCAACTCATGACCTCGGTATGGCGTGAAGGACAACCTGGTACTGCCCCCCTTCCCATGAGACTGCAGTTGCCCTGTCACCACTGGCTCATACCTGGCTTTCCAATAAACTCTGAGGCGGCAGCCACCTTGTATGAGGTCCAGATGCATTTCTGCCAAAAGCCGCTGAGTTTCAAGATTTGTTCCTGAGTCTCTGGGATCATGGCCATTAATTAGCTTGATCAGGAGCCAGAGAGGCCGTTTGTAGGCGGTAACTTGGGGTCTTGCTGGGATGGGAAGGAAACGGCCAGTTCCACCCCCATCTGGTGAGGCCCCGTGTGTCTCAACACTGCAGGCCCAAACCTGACTGTCCAGTAGCCTCTGGAGGATGGTGGTCACCGGGCCACCAAGGGGAACAGGCCAAGGCACGAAACCTATTCGCTGGAATGGCCCAGCGCCAGTAACCTACTGTAGGAAAAGGACGCATTTCTGCCAAAAGCCTTTGGGTTCCGAGATTCATTTCTGAGTCTCTGGGATCATAGCCGTTAAGCAATTTGTTCAAGAACCAGAGAGGCAATGCCTCCAATTATATAGCTGAGACAGAGGTGTTTTGTGGGTGTGTCTCCCACATACCTAAATTTTGGCCATTTACTTTCTTGGTAAACTTTGCCCCAAGTTTTTGGGGTCTGGCCAAAGGCACAGCAGCAATTTTGGGATATCTGAAAGCCTGAAGGTGCCATCAGGCTGCTGATGCACTTGCCTCACAGGTACAAATTGTCCTGCTAGCGGCATCATACTCTCTGATATTGCTGCTTTAAATCAGTCACTGTCACTGTCCTCCTGTTGTGCATCGATTTTTGCTCAAGTAGGCCCAGTAACATTGTGAGACTTGTTACTGTGTTTGGCATATCGAATATGTCACGGGTAGCTTGCCAGGCTTTCCTGTGTGGGCAAGATAACTCTTGGTAGCTTGTCAGGCTCTCCAAGAGGGGCAGAGGGATCTAAATCAGGCAGGCCATGTTGGCTGCGTGCAAGGCAAATGCCTTACCCGCTGTGCTATCACTCCAGCCTATTGCTTTAAATATGCAATAAATTAGGAAGTTGCTTAAAAAGTGTGGAAATACAGGTGGAAAATGTTATCTGCATCTTTGTTGGTCACTCAGTTAAGAAAAATATTTCCTATTCCAAAATTATATAACTAAAACTACTAATTTTTCTAATTCTGTGATTTTATCATTAAAGATTTCTTATTGGAATCAAGAAATTTTATGAAACAGTGTATTTAATTTCTTTTTCACTGTGCCTAAAAATTTACAAAAAGAAACTCCTAGCTATGTATATAATATACTGAACAAAGGTTCTAGGGGATATTTAATATTTTCAGTTTGTGAAAATTTCAGTTATGCAAAGCAGTGATGTACACAATATTTCATGTACTATGAATATAACTTTCAAGTGTTTATGATTTTAAAGTTTCAGTAGCAGAGCTGAGAATATTCAGATCATCAAATTAAGTTCCATTCACTTTGATTGTCATGGGCAGATATGATTCTATTCTTTTAACAATGGTTCCAGAGGTCACAGCTCATAGAAAAATGGAAATTTCAGTCTCATCTGACACTTTCCATTTGGTTCCTGAACATGATTTACCTAAGTAGTTATGAGCATGGCACAATTAATTTAGCAAAGTCAATGGCTTCTTTAGTAACCTTAGCCCTCCAGGAAAATATACCTCACATGTTTTCTAAAGCAAATTCTGCAAGCTGTTCTTGCAGACAAAATTTTAGATTATGTTTGACCATATAGGATGGCAAACAATCCAATAAAATGGAATTATAGTTATATTCATATAAGATATAATGGCTAGAGAGTAAAAATTGCATCTGTGCTTTTTCAGAATGCATTTATTTTTTATTTTATAAATATAGGTTTTAGTGGTCAAATTTAAATTAGATTAAGGGGAAAATTTTTTAACAAAAAGATTAGAAAAAAATGGAATCATGTTATTGTGACTTCAAAGACCCTATATGAGATTGTTCAATTCTGATTTAATTTCATGTAATTCTCTCCTTTTTAATGAAATTTATTATAAAATTGTTGCTACTTATAGTACTTTTTTAAAAAAGAAACAACTTTCATTCTCTTTCAAAAGTCTTCGTACTTGCTATTGTATAAAATCTCATTGTTATTTTACCCCCAAGACCAAAGTCATGTTGGAAATATTATGTTTGGTCAGTCACATAGGAGGACTTCCCCTTTAGATGCCTTTGTTCTCTGAGATACCTTATTTTCTTCCAACAGTTACCACTATTGAATATTCTTATTTAATAGCTTACGTCTCTTTTCTTAGCTAAGGAGTCTATGTAATGATATAATTAAAGGAGGAATGTTTTTGTGTTGATTTGTTTTGCTTGGAGGCTATGTCAGGCAGTACAGAGGGCTTGTTCCTGGTTCTGTGCTCAGGTATCACTCCTGAGTCTGCTCAGAGACAGGGGACCATATTCACGTATTGAGCTCTGTGGTAGGAACTGAACAGGGCTTGGCCATGCAATGCAAACACCACAGTATCATTCTGACCAAAAGGCAGAAACTTTTCTTTGTCATTAACTCTCCTTTGTGTGTGTCTCTTTTGAGTACTGAATAATAGACAACATTTTATCCATCACATGATTCTACCTCCACATGATCTCTACCTCCACATGATTCTCAAGTACTTCTGTAACAGACCCCAAGAGTTGAGTTGAAGATAGTCCCTGAATATCATCAAATGTGACCAAAACTCCCTCTTACCAAGTTCTTTAAGTTTCTTTCATGAATATTTAAGTGTCAAAATTTTAAAGGTTACTGAGTCACTTCCAGAGATAAATGACTGTAGGAAACAAAAGTATACTATCTTGATTACACAATTGAATGTGAAAAAAAAGAAAATAAAAAAACGGAGTTTTCTGAAGAATGTGAAGGTGATAAACTATATTGAAGTTAGTATGTGAGTGGGCTGAAAAGAGAAAACACAGCTAAGTCTGGGACCAACTAGAGGAGGTAAGATTCAGATGGAGAACAGATGTCTGGGAGAGAACTAAGGTTTTTGCTCTACAAAATTAGTCTTAGGCTTTGACAAGTCTGAAACCCAATAACATTGCTGAGGTCCCATTACCACTAAATTGGAATGAGACTTCAGTGAATTACATGGGCAAGTCCATGCCCTTTGCCCATAGGAAGCAGCTACAGAAGATGGATCTTCACCAGTGTACCCCTTTGTTAAGAATTTAAGAAGGTGAAATACCAGGTGGGCTTGCAGGACCCCATGTGGTATTGGGGATTGAATCTGAGTCATCCCTCTGCAAGGAAAACACCCTATCCACTGTACTCTCTCATCCTGTATCATTTTGTTTTAGCAGCTGACATAGTATTAGCAGTTCTGGGTCTTTAATTTCTTAGAGGAAGAATTTGGGCCATAGCTGGCGATGCTTAGAGATTAATTCTGACTTTGTACTTGAGGCTGATGTTCAGAGGAGTTCCAGGGATTGAACCTGGAGCAGTACAAGGGAATCTCTTTAATCTCTCCAGCCCTG